TGTCAAGGTGCAAGTTTTCGAAGCTGGGACCTTTTATCTTCGAGTTTAGGCCAATGCACGCGGCGTTGCATCGAAGACCGCCAATAAACTTCGATTCCAACAACCAATCGGTTCTAGTAGCTGGGGCAATCTCAACATCCCGTAGGTTTACGAATATTATCGGCAATCTACATCGGCGCCTCAAGCCCCAGCGCAACTTTTTGTTCCGTAAATCGGAGATATGCTCCATGCGAGGCAGTGGGTTGACTTGGTATTTGTATGGGATGCGCTGCCATCTCACATTCCACACGTTTACGAAAACATCTGGCAATTTAACTTGCAATTTGTATTGGACGCATGCAGCGCAAAGTGGCGGTCCAGTGGTATATTGGATGGAATCAGATTGGCAGCCAACACCAAGACCGACGCAGTGGCGGCAGTGGCAGCACAGAAACACTAGCAACGACCTCGGGCGATTGCACCCACGGAGCTCGACAGCGCGAGCCTGGCGAAGAAGCAACGGGAGACCATGGTGGCGCCAGCCACGATCCTTGCCGGGGAGCCGAGGCCGAGGAGCCGAGCTAGTGGCGACAGAGCATGAGGAGCCTGTGCGAACGATGGCGACGCCTGCCAGCAACCAGCGAGTCCAGGCAAGTGCAGCGTGACACAAGGGCGTCACGGCCATAAGCACCCAGTACGCATCAGCGATGTCGGTCCCGCAGCCATGCAAGGACCTCTTGAGGGCAACTTCACTCGAGGAAAGCGAATGCCCGTGTTATCGCGCTGCAACGACGATGCCCTGTCTTAGTTGCGTGCTCAGCAAGCTTTCGCAAGTCCATGTCGACCCAACGTCGAGCCAGCAACGCCTCAACCCCGTCCTAGCTGAATTCGGGCTGTCCAAGTACAACGTATACAGTCTCTAGTGGATATGGTTTGAGGCATCCCGGCCAGCCGCATAGGTCCCTTGCAGAAGCTGCGTTCGTTCGACCTGCAGAAGAAATGCGATGCCACCAAGTTCTCGAAAGCCCACAAGATAATCGCAACAGTAGCGTATGTTGTAGGCCACCAAGTACTCGACGTGACTGCCACGGATGCAGTGTCGCGCGAGCGTGCATACGAGCGCGGATTTTTGCATGCGACCAAGTCCATGATGCCACATGCGAATGGGCCGCCTGCAGGTCAATGACATGAGCTACATTACGTTTCACGACGTTGTACTGAAGCGCAAGTAGGAGTAGCACTACTAACATGCATAATATTGTAAATTCTCCACTTCTCTCGTGTCGCCGCGCTACTTGTGAAGTCCCATTGCCCCATCTCGCGTCGCGCTACAGTGTGCCTACGATATCATTTTCTAGAGTACATGCATATTCATTTATAGAGGTATTCGCCCATGTTTCGCAAAAGCTTGGGTTATATACATGCAGTCGGTTCGGTCTGAGATCGAGGGCGCGTTGGACGCCATGCGCCAGTGCCTGGGGCTCCCGTGGACCTTCTCGCGCCTCCCGTCGCGGAGCTCCAGGCCTCGCCTTGGCGCCCGAGGTGTTGACGACTGGCTCACGTTCCCGCTGCCGAATGCTGCGCAGCTCTTGGTTGAGCATCCCGATGGCCGAATCCCGCTCTCGCATCTCTACATTGAGCATGACGAGCCGGACGTCATTGCATTGTCTGATATCGTGGGCGCCATTGACGCAGCGTTGGCGCCGCCGTCCATGTACCAAGCGTACCTCTCACACGTGGCGATCGACGTTATTGGCAGCGCGGCCATCCTGGCGCCCATCGATCCTCCAAGCGGGTCGTTCGCGACGCTTTGGGTCGAGCTTCCGTCGTCGTATGTCGGCGGCGAGACCACTCTGACGCACGAAGGATCGTCCATGCCAACGCAACTGTGGCCACGTGAATACGACTTGGCGGCCGCCTACAACGACGTCGACGTCGAAGTGGCGCCGATCGTATCTGGACACCGCGTGCTCTTGGTCTTCAGCTTGGCCGTGGACGAGTGCACGGCCGCAGTTCGTACGGCGCCATTGTCAATATCGGCTGGGATTGCTCGGCTCGCGGCGACGGCGGCGCTGCCCGGGGCGACCGCTCGGATGTGGGGGTGCCCCTTGAATCACCCTGTCTCTGCCCTCGAGTGGCGCCAAGTCACGGGCTCTGACAAGATTGTAGCGATAGCGTTGTGCGCCAGCGGCGTCTACGACGTGGCGCTCGTCGAGCACGCACCGTACAATGCCGAGGACGACGACGACGATCATGACGACGGTCGAGCGCCAACGGCGTGGTCGGTGCGTCTCGCTGGCGGCGTTCTCTTTCCCAAGACGCTGGCCGACCCGTCTTTGGCCGATGACTTGGGCAACAAGATGGTCGCCATCCCACCAAGAGCGCGCTTTTCGCTGGCGTTCTGGGCGTCGTCGCAGCGAGCGCATGTCGCGGGGCATCGCGTCACAAGCGTGGCAGTCTACCGCTTTTTGATGACGCAAACGACGTGGCATGCGCGTGACGCGTACTTGGGCTTTCCCACCGGTAACGCGCTCTTGCTGGCGTACTTTGAGATGTTTGGGAGCCGGCCGTTTGTCGACACAGTGCACCATGAGCGCTACCGGGACACGTCCTCGTTGTGTGACCTCCTCTTGCAGCAGCGGCGCCTCGATCTCGTTCAGTGCTTCCTTCAAGACCACTGCGTCTACTTCAAGGACTGCGCGCACGACTACGCTTCGCTCATCCACTCGGTGCTGACGATCTATGGGTGGGAAGTGCTGGCGCCCACGATGGACGTTCTCCTGACCAAATGGCCACTTGGGGGCGCCATGCGGCTCGTGGCCAGTCTTGCCGGCGCCGCACTCGACCCCGTCTGCCCGCCCTTGCAGCGTCCGTTCGCCAAGGAGTTTATCAAGACGTGCTTTTGCCGCCTTCTCGTGGCGGCGTCAACCGCCATGGACGCGAACTTTGCGTTCTTCCGGCACGGTACCCTAGGTCTCCAGCAGCTCCTAATCGACGTGCTCCTGCTGCAGACGTACTTGACGACGCCCAGTGAGAGCGCTGCCGGCAGCTACCTCGACGCCTTCCTTCCCGCGCCGCTCGTGCACCTTGTCGATACGTTCCTCATCCCCCTCAGCTTTGTCGATGCTGTCGTCTTGAAGCAACGGTCCATCTTCGACCCGGTCGCCGTTGTTGGTCCCGCTGTGCGCACGCTCTCCCAGCACGTGCCTTCGGCGACGCTGGCGCCGCTCGTGGCGCCGCTGTTGGCGTCGGCGCATGAGCTTCCGGACGCCATGTCGATTGATGGACTCATAGCGTACCTCTGCCTCGTGCCAAACCTCGATATGGATCTGGTCACAGCCATCGCGACGCGTTATCCGCTCTTGTTTGTGCCGACGATGCTCGCGGTCGCCAAGGACCATCGTGACGCGCTGGACGTCATGGCGATCGGGGCGATGGTCATTGCGCTTTCCGATCGTATTTTTGAGGACGCTACCTTTGTGACACTGGAATCGTTTCTCTTTAGCGGTCTCTCGGAGCACCATGAGCACTATAGTGCCTGGTACCCCGACGTGTCCAAGGTCGATGTCTGCATCATGGGCGTTTTGGCCGACGCTACCACCTTTCTCGATGCCTACGTGCCCTCCAAGCTCATGGACCATGCTACGTCGTGGACAGACGCGCTCTGCCGCAGTAGCAAGCGCGACGACTTCTTTACGAGCTGTGTGTTTCGCCTTCTCTTTAGCATCGAGGACATTTGTATCCGGCGGTCCGACGTCGGCATCTTCTTGGCAGAGACGTGTCGCACCGAGCTCCAAGCGAGTGCGACACGACGCAGTGCGATGTTGGAGCCGCTGCCAAGTGTCGCCATGGCCATCGACGTCTCCAAGGACTGCGCGAGCTGCGCCGACTTCGCGGCTTTTCTCTGCAACGCCAAGGCGCGCCGGTATGCGACCAAAGGGTATGCGACAACTGGCTCGCCGGCGCTGTGTGCGCACGTGCGCGCCCTCGCGGTCCCGGCCCACGGCTTGAGATTCGAGGATCCGAGATCTGCATTTGGCACCTTGTACATCGACAAGCACCCACCGGGGATCGACGTCGTCGCGTGGGACGCACTGGAGAAGGAGCACCAGACGTTTGCGAGCCTGGCGAGCCGCATGGGACTCATGACCAAGGCGATCGCAGCATGGGCATCCCATCACGCCACACCGTTTGGCGACTAGATCAGTGTATAGTCGATACCCTCCATATTGCCACAACTCGTTCGCCTGATCTTTGAAAAGGCTGCTTGAAGTTGCACTTGCGCTTCAACGGTATGTTTCAGTACTGTCTCAAATGTTATATACTGTTACTTCTTTACGCCTATTTGAGACGAAATGGATAAATAAATATCCAGTTGGGACGTATGTGGGAATAAACTGTATCAACCTCTGCGTTGCACGTTGAAGTTGCCGCATTTTGCAAACACAGCCAAGCATCCAACGCATCATGGTCCTCTCCAGCGCCGCGCTCAAGGGCATCGCTGCGTACGAATACCACCCGTACTCTGCTCCTCGCACTAGAGTACCTCATCTAAGACTCTCGTAGCGGCGCGCTCACGTGGCTCGACACCAAGTTCAACCTCTACTGGAACGCTGTTGTCAACTTGCTGCCGACCTGGGTAGCTCCCAACGTCATCACGCTCGTTGGCACAGCCATTACCGTCAGCACCTCGCTCGTATTCTTTCAGAGTGTGCCCACGATGACCGAGACCGCCCCTCCCCACGTACTTGCTTCTTCGTAAATTTCGCCGACTAACTCGACATGTTAGCTGTACCTCGTCTGCGCAATCGGGCTCTTCCTCTACCAGACGTGCGACGCGATCGACGGCAAACAAGCCCGGCGCACCGGAAGCTCGAGTCCTCTCGGGCAGCTCCTCGACCACGGTGCACTGCTCTTTTCAAGATCTGATATGGACGCTTGGAGAAACTAGGCGGCGATGCCATCTGCAATGTCTTTAGCAACTTGGCTGTCGGCGTCGCCATCGGGACAGGTCCTACCTTGGGCCTGCTTCTCCTTCTCTCTAGCACGTCCGTGGTGTTCTTCCTCGCGCAGTGGGAAGAGTACCATACAGGTTGAGCTTGAACTCGAGCCAGTCGTATAAATTCCTTTTCCAGGCACATTGCGCTGCGGCAACGGCTACGTCGGCGTCACCGAAGGGCTCTTGCTGCTCATGGCGCTGCATGTGGTCACTGCATTTTGCGGTACGAGCTAGTGCAACGACACGTTCTCTCATTCACGTTGGCCAAGGACACGCCTTCTGGGACACGCCAGTCACGTCATCTCTCTCGGTCCGTGATACCCTCTTGCTGCTCGTGGCGGTCGCCATGACGCTGCAAGGCTACGACAAGTAGACATCTCGGACCCGAGGCGAATGAAAATTATGGACACATTGTCTCTAGTGTCCAGATGGTCTGTGCCGCGATCGACACGCAGCAACAGCCACGCTGCTCCAAGACGCAAGCGCTCCTGCAGCTCGTGCCAACGGCGAGCATTGTCCTCGGGTCCGTCGTGTGGATGCAGTCCGATGACGTGGCCGCGTACGGCTATCCCTTCTTCCTCGCGATTGGCCTCTCGCACGTGACGCTCTCGGTGCGATACGGATCGCAGACAACTTGTCTTCATGTGCTCTATAGTCGCGCATGATTGTGAGTCACATGTGCAAAATCCCATTCGCAGGCCAAGCCGACATGGTGTGTCTCCTCGGTGCCGCGCTCGCGGCACTCGTGTCGACCAAGTACTCCAAGTGTCTCCACGGAGATGACAACTTGTCCAATTTTTGTAGTGTCCACGGCGCGACCATTGCCACCGTGTACCTCAGTGTCGTCGTCGGCATGCACAGCTGCTACATGGCGAACGTCGTCCGCGAGATTGGCGCGTACCTCGGCATCTGCGTTTTGCTCATCAAGCCGCGCGACTAAGAACTTAGTTATATATATAGATCTTGAAGTAGACCACTCGGAAGAGTTATACAACAGAGTATCAACGCTAGGTCGACGTCGTGCAACAGGCATCCAAATGCTAGCCGAGAGCAAGGTCAAGGAGAAACGGGGTCGAGGGGGTTTGCGGTGGTATATTCGGTTCATAATGTGCCTAGTACAACAAGAGCAACAAGCGACAGGGGCGGTCGACGAGTAGGTCGTCGTCAGGCGCAGGAAAGAGACGTAGGCAGGCAGGAGGAAGGGCATCTACGGGCGCGGCGACGACTTGGAAAAGGACACGCGGATGCGGCCGTCGGCAAACAGGACGTTGTCCAGGGCGACCATCGTATCGAGCGCATCTTCCAGCGTCTCCATCTCCAAAAGCGCCATCTTGGGTTGCTTCAGAATCGGGTGAAACTGGCGCAGGATGCCATGTTGGCTACAGAGGTCTGCGATCGGGTGCGGCCCGGCCAACGTCGCTGGCTGCATCGAATCGGGGATGCCCGAAATGTGCAGCATCGGCGACGGTGGCGCGACTTCGGCGAGCGACCGGCGGCGGTACCGGTGCGAGAGCGCTTTGGAGAAATCGATTGTGTTTTGGAGCTCAAACGGCTCGGCGTCGGCGCGCGGCATGACCACGGACGCGTGCTTGGAGTAGTCGACGCGCCACTTCTTACAGCACACATGGAGTCCGTCGAGGTGCTCGCGCGCCGACTGTGCGTGGACCTCGTCGACAAACTGCACCAAGATCGTGCCTTGCTTGCGGTACATGATCTTGAGCCGCATCACGTCGCCAAAGCACCCAAAGATCGTAAACAGCGCTGGCATTTTCTACATAGCAGTGAGCGCCAAGTGCTCGAGAGTCGAATGCGACATGCGTACCATGTAGTGGTCGTCAATGTTGCTGCAGATGAGCACGCACGACGACGGCACTTCGAACCGCCCGTCGCGTGGCGGAAAGTCCCGGCCTTTGGACGGCGGCGGGCGCGGCGGTGGACCTCGACTGCCGCTGAGCCGCGGCGGCTGGCGCTCGTCCACCTCCCGCACCACCGAGCGCGGATCAAAGCTCGAATTCGACCGTGACCCACGCTCGAGACTGCGCGCCGGTGGCCCGCGATCCAAGGCCCGACCCCGAAAATCCACGTCGCGACCACGAGGATCCACGTCCCGGCCCCGCAGATCCGCGTCGCGACCGCGAGCATCCATGTCCCGGCTTCGAAAGTCGGCGTCGCGGCCTCGCAGATCCATATCCCGGCCTCGGGGATCCATGTCCCGGCCTCGGGGATCCATGTCCCGGCCCCGGGGATCCATGTCCCGGCCCCTGGGATCCATGTCCCGGTGGCGGGCGTCGTAGTCGCGTGGCGGCGGCCCACGCGGGTCAAGGTCGCGACCGCGGACGTCATACGCGTCACGACTGGGCCCTCGGACGTCGAGGTCCCGCAAGGGCAGGCCCCGAGCGTCATACTCGCGCGGCCGAGGCTCGTACTCTCGGCGCGGCTCAAACTCGCGACGCGTCTCGTACTCGCGCGGCCGCGTGTCAAACTCGCGACGCGGTTCAAACTCGCGCGGCCGAGCAGCGACGTCGCGCGCCCTCGACTCGTAGTCCCGAGGCAGTTCTCGGGGGTCGTAGCCAGCGCCGCGGAGGTCACCATCACGCGGAGGGGGACCCCGCAGGTCGTATTCGCGAGGCGGCGCGCGCGCATCATAGTCGCGGGGTGCGCGCGTCTCGTACTCGCGCGGCCGCGCGTCAAAGTCCCGAGCCGGCCGACTGTCGAGCCGACGCGGCGATGGAGCACGACTCTCGAAGCGACGGGGCGACGGCGCCCGAGGACTCAGGTCCCGGCGATCCCGCGGACGCCTGGGCTCCGGCACGGGCGGGCGGCGATCCCGGCTGCGGCTACGACTCCTGCGGTCCCGGCCGCGCGCGGTAGGTGGCGGGAGCGACGTCGGCGGGACAAACTCGGTGCGCGCCGGCGCCACCGGTTCGTCCAGCATCCATGGCTCGGGTGCTTGGTTGGCCGGTCCGGCCGGCAGGGTCGGGTTGGTGTAGTCCCGGCACGTGTCGTTGTTGAAGCGCACGGTCAACGTGGCGTGGTTGGAGATGCCAATGTGCAGCGTGTTGCAGCCCGTGTAGATGTCGCGGCCGTTGAGCGCATGCTGCGCGGCCTCCGCCTGCTCGATGGTTTCCATCTCGATGAGCGCCTTGAGCTCGGGGCCCTTGAAGAAGAGCACGATCTTGACCACACTGCCGTAGCCGGAAAAGACCTACGTATCCATGTGAGCACCACCTCGAGCCAAAGGAAGGGCGAGGACCTGGTGCAGCGTGTCGACCTTGACCTCGTACTCGAGGTTGGAGATCGTGACCATCAAGATCTTGTTGCGCTGACCGGGCGGGAGGTACAAGTTGGTCGGCGTCGTCTCGTAGGTCGTGGGCGTCGGCTGGTAGCCGCGCGGGTCGGCAGTGCGTGGCGGCGACCGGCGGGTGGACCGCGGCGGTGATCGTCGGCGCGGCGACTCCTTGAAGCCCTTGGCAGCTCCTTTTTGCGGGCAGATTTCGCCGCGACTGCTAAAGGCGAAGAAGACCTTCTTGCCGCGGACCATGGCGTCGTGCGCTTGGTAGAACGCAATGAGGTTTGTGGCGGCCGTCGTGTCGGGTAGCTCGACGAACGCTTGGTTCTTGTCCGGGATCATGAGCACCTTCTCGACCGACGAGAAGGGCATGCAGAGCGCCATGAGCTCGCTCTCGAGGCAGTCGTCCGGAAGGCCGCGGGCAAAGACGACGCGCGATGCGACCTGGTTCTCTTCGTGCCGGAGCCGCTTCATCTCATGCGTCTCGCCGTCCCGCTTCTCGCCCGCGTATGGCATCTTGGGCCACTCAAATTGGGAAATGGTCGATATCACCAGTTGCTTGCTGGATCGGTCGGCAGATTTTGGTACTTGGGGTTTGTATGTGGCCGCCGGTTCCAGCAATGAACCGGTCACTTCTCGATCAACGCAGCTCTCCATGCAGCGACGCTTCCATCGCCAGGACGACGCATCTCATATGCTTGCACGCACGGACCGAGCAGCGCGAGCGCCCAAGTCGGCGCATCGGCAAGGGCCACGTCGTGGCGACACCACGAATCGGCAATATACTGGTCTACCTTCATAATATGATATTGCACTCGACGCCATAACCTGTAGAAACACATATCATCTGGGACGCACGACAGCTTTCCCAGAAGCGCCCCAGAAATGTGGCATTTCTCACATGTGGGAAACCAGACGGTGCCACGCCACGGCGCGTGTCAACGCTTGTGTACCTACACCTGCCAATGTAATTGTGTGCACTCACGCGCTACCGACGCCGAGCGTCCGATGGCCCGTATTACTCCAGGTAATATATAAACAATTTCCTTGCTAGTACTACACTGCAATGTTAAAATACATTATTGTACATCGACGTACAGTAGGTCCCACAACGACAGTCTCTTCTTGCCTTGGTGATGGCCCAAAGTCTCCTCGCATATCATCCTCCAGTTCTTGCTTTTTCCAACAAAACATAATTGCATTTGTAAATTTTGGCGCCAACGTTGGCGATTCAGCAAGTTTATATAGCTGTTTATATATTCTTCGATGCCAAACTAGCTGTTGACGCCTCGAATTCTCGTCGTCATTGCAGTCGACAGAAGACCGTCGTCATTGCTCGCGGCGTGCGTCATCACCGCCCGTCTTGCTTGGTCAAGGTCTTGTTCGTACCTAGTAGGTCCTGGGGACTGAAGGGAGAGGTCTCGAAGCGCTTGCGCTCCTTCGAGAGGAAGCACAATGGCGTAGAACTACGCAACCCAAATCTTCCTGCAGAGCGCTTTCAGCCAGTAGTACTGAGTTGATAAACCCGAATCAACGTTAGATCCATCGAGTTAATGCCTCTGCGATGCCCACCTCGCTCGTTATCCCAGACTCTTCCATGGACAAAGCCCAATAGTCGTCAATATGGCGCAAGTCCTCGAGCCTGCTTCCGTGCCAAAGACACTGCCATCAAGTCCCGTCATTCCAGCGTGTTGACGGAAGCTGATGGGTAGAGTAGGCCAGCGGCAGTAGCGCTACTCACCGCGACATGCAAATCTCTCGCTCGTAGTATCGTCCCAGGCGCGATCTCGTCTTTAGCCAAGCGCGCAGACGTTGTCGATGTCGATACCGACAGCTTCCTTGGCGACGGCGACTGCATCGGCGCCGACATGCGCCAGTTGGGACAGCCCTGAGACCTGCCGGGTGCTACCACCGGCCGGTCCCACGTTTTTTTAATATGTATTTTAGCTTGCGATTTGTATGGTGGATACTTTTTTGAGTATTTTATGACGTTGAATATATATATTACTAGTACACGGTAGAAGCTGGCGGACCAAAATCGAATTTGATCCGAGGTCGCAGCATGCTCGCCTGGATACCCTGGCAGTACGCGTGGCGCGTCGCCTGGTACGCGACGGCCATGACGACGACGCTCCTCGCGCTCCTCATCACAGTCGGCGATGTCGTGCTCACGTGGGCGGCGCGGCGCTATGGCGTCCTGTACGTCGACAAGCGCATTCGCATCTCGTGGTCGATGCTACATGGGACGCTCACGATCGAGCACGTTGCGCTCGCATCGGCGCTGCGCCCGATGGTCGGCCCGATGCTGGGCCTGCCGGCCGACGCGCTCGTGACCCGCATCCGCCGCCTCGAGCTCTGCTTTCCGTGGCTCTCGATGCTCGTGTGCCTCGTGCGCCAGCGCGATTCGCGCCTGCCATTGCGCGTCGGGCTCTTCCTCGACGGCCTGCACATCGAGCTGCTCATGGACAGCGCGCGCAAGTGGCGATGGAAGCAACCCGAGAACAAGGCCCGCTTTGACGCCGACGTGGAAGTCGCCAAGAGCAACCGGCTCGCGCTCCTCGAATGGTGGACGTCGACGATCCTCGCCAAGCTCGCGCACTTCCAAAAACCGGTATCGACGGCCTCCAACGAGTACACGCTTCTCGCAGGTGTCTGGGGCGAGTCTCTCGACACGACGTTGCAGCGCCTGTCCTGGCCGTTGGCGGCCATCGACGCGGTCCTCGGCAGCGTTGCGCTTGGCGTGACCAACGTCTGTCTCGTCGCGCGCCCACCGCCGTGTGCATATGCGCACAACACCACTCTCACGCTGCAGCTCGAGGGTCTCACGCTCTCGGCCACGCACGATGGCGATCGTCCGAGCATGGACGCGCGGCAGTTGGAGCTCACGGGCTTGAGCCTCCGCACGGCCGCCGACGCGACCGACGAGGCCGCCGCGATCGAGCATCCGATGCTGGCGCCGTTGGCGCTCGTATTGCGCCTCCAGATGCCTCCGATGCTCCAGGGACTCCACCACGCCCCCAAGGACGTGCTCGTTGCCGTCGACCTCTCGCCGATGCGCCTCGATGTGGTGCCCGACCAGATCCAGACGCTGCTCGATGTGCTCCGGCCGCGCACCGAGTACGGCATCTGGCTCGCCCAAGCGGCGGCGCACGATGAAGCGGCGTGCAATGTGATGACCGAGGCCATGCGCGACGCGTACATTGCCGACTACCGCGCCAAGCATACGCCCGAGACCCGGCCGTGGTACGTCCGCCTACAGCATCGATCGCGTGACGCGGCAGCGGCGACCGCGCGGGCCCGCCGGCTCGCCGAGACGGAAGCCAACACGCTGGCCACAGACATCCTTGTGCTGCGGCAGCTGGCGCTCGGGTGGTCGGTTCCGTCGTTTGGCGACGCGTTGCCGCGGATCCCCGACGAGCTCAAGGCGGCGACGGACTTGACCAAGTTTATCGAGACGCCGCTCGAGCACTACAACCCGGCCCTTGCCGTGCCGTCGGTGCTAGCCGCGCTGCAGCTCTCGCTGACGTGGCCACGCCTGGTGGTGAGCGTGTGGGCGTCGCCGTCGTCGCCGCTTTTGCGCGTGAGCTTGGACCAGCTGCATCTCTCGCTGCGGCAGTCGATGCAACCGATCGCCGTCGACCGCCGCCAGCTCGAGCTGGACCTTGTGCTGGCGTCCTTTGGCGTCGACGACACGCGGCAGTCGCCCACGAATGCATACCCGCACCTGCTGGGGCGCAACCCCGACTGTGAGAACATGCTCTCGCTGCAGTACACGGTCGACGGCACGGCGGCCACGGTCGGGCTCACGCTCGCGAGCTTCTCGGTGCTCGTGATCCTCCTCCCGTTCTTTGACGCGCAGAGCGCCTTTGCCGATGCGCTTGCAGACGACGAAGAGACGCTCGTGTGGCGCGACGCCGACGACATTGTGGCGACGCCAACCGCGCTTGTGGTGTACGAGGTCGATGCGCCCAAGACGGTCGACCCGTCGCTGTTCGGGCGCACGGAGCTCACGGCCGCCATCAATGTCAAGGGCGTCGAGGTGTGTCTCCTCGGCGACCCGTCGACGCACCTCTCGCACCAGCTCGCGTTCACGTCCGATGTCGCTGTCGCCGTGAAAAGCACCAAGTACGCCGAGTCGATCCAGCTGACCATGATTGACGTCGCGCTCCAGCCGTGCAAGATTGTGCTGACGGACGACGGCCTCGACGTGACGCTCCCCGGTCTCCGCACGCTTCTCGAACTCGAAGGCGACGGCGTCGACTTGGAGTTGAACTACGAGCTCCAGTTTGCCCACAGTGAGCCGTCGACACGCCGCCTGGCACCGACGCACAGCAGCTCGACGCGCGCCAAAGGCAAGTGGGGCCTCCTCCAGTCGGCCGTCAAGGACGCCAAGATCACGGACGACCCCTCGCTCATGGGCAAGACGCTCGTGCTGCCGTCGGCCACTGGGCCGCGCGTCGACGCCACGCGCTTGCTCGCGATGAAGGTGTCGGACTTTGCTCTCAACGTATCAAAAGACGACATTGGGCTCTTTGCAGCGATCCAAGCGCGTGTCGGCGCGGCCCGGATCGCCAGCGACGCCGACGTGGCGGCCACGGCGGCCCGCGATGCGCGTATTCAGAGCCAGCGGGCCGCGCGTCTCGAAGCTGCCAAGATGGCCCGGCTCCAACGCCAGTTTATGCTGCTCGACAAGGACGGCGGCGGCACGTTGGACCACGACGAGATTTTCGGGCTCCTCGAAGCGCTGGTCAAGGACCTTGGCCTGACGTTGGATGAGATGAAGGCGTGCGAGACGGCGCTGCTCAACATGGTGGACGCCGACCGCAGTGGCGACATTTCGTTTGAAGAATTTCAAGCCGCTGTGGACCGCGACACGATCCACTATAGCATGCTGCACCAAGGGTCGCTGCCGTTGACGGGCGCCGAGTACATCCACCCGAAGCTCAACCGCAGCCACGTGCCGTCGATCAACCCGAGTACCGGCAAAGCGACGCATTTGGCCGAGAATGCGCGCTTGATGGTGTTTTGGACCAAGTACGTCGAGCAAACCGGCGCGACGACAAGCTCGCTGAACGGGCAGTCGCCGCGCGTTGTCCAGCTCAAGATGGTGCGGACGTTCAAGTCGTACGAGTTTGCCCAAGAAGCATGGACGCGGCTCGTCAACCCAGGTCTGGCCAAGCCGTCGGAGCAGAGTCCGTGGCTGCTGTTGCCGTCGCATGTCATGGGCGAGGGCGCGGCGGCCTTTGAAGGGCTCTTCAACCAGCATGCGAGCTCGGTCGCCACGTCCATCGCGCAGCTCGAAGCCGCCGAAGCAACGACGACAAAGACAAGCTTTGAGCAGACGCCCGTGTTTGTGTTGACGTCGGTCGCAACGTCGTTTGGCGGCTTTTACTTTCGGGTCGTCGACAGTCTGTTGCCGGCGCACGTCCCGGCGCTCGAGCTCGCATTTGAGGAGGTCAAGATCCACGGCGACTGCCGTATGTACGAAGGTAACGCCGATGCTGCCAAGCGCGCGCTCAACGTCGGCACGGGCAGCCTCTGCGGGTCGATCTACTGCAAGTACTACAACACGAGAGCGCGTCAGCTCGAGCCGTTCATCGAGTACTACCCGCTCCGCGCGGTGCTCAAGAAGGAAGTGGGCGGCGACTTGGCGTGCTACGTGGTCTCGGACCAGTACCTCCACATCAACTTGACGTCGGCGTTTATGGACGCGGTCAACGCGACGACAGCGGCGTTCTACGAGTCGGACGTGGTCGGGTCGAAAGAGCGCGAGCACGTCAAGGTGCTTGGCGGTCTCTGCTGGATGCATAACCAGCTGGGGTCGTCGCTGACGTACGTGATTGATCTCTCGGGCGAGTCGCGTCAGGAGCTGTCGGACCCGATGGAGCTGCACCATGACGAGTACCGTGTGTGCAAGCTTAAGGAAGAGGAGACCGCGATGAAGGGCGAGCTCCAGGACAACATGAAGGAGAAGGAGATGCGCAAAGCCTTCCGGGACGCCGACGCCGACCAGAGCGGCGAGCTCGAAGCGCAGGAAGTCCGAAGTGTGCTCCAAAGCGTCCTCAAGTCGTACGCGTCGCTCTCGGACGCCGACCTCGAAGACCAAGTCGCAGCGTTCATGGCGCTCGCCGATACCGACAACTCGGGGCAAGTGAGCTGGAAGGAGTTTCAGGTCGCTTTGGCCAAGACGCGCGTCATGACGCAGCGCACACTGCGGCTTGAGGTGCCCGGATACGAGCCGATCTATGGGATTCCGCTGGACGTGCTCGGCCAAGACTTGATCCTGGACCTCGTGCCAATGATTCTGGACGCGCCCTTCGACGACGACGAGGCCAAGTACGAGGCTGCGGTCACGTACCTCAACCAAGACGACCCGTCGCAGGACGACATTACGCGTGCGATCTATTTGCTCAAGCAGCTGCCCCCGACGTTCAAGTGGACAGCCTCGTATCTCTCGACGTATGGCGCGTCGTACCTGCCGCGGCTGCTCGCCGTGCACATTAGCGTTGACTCGACGTACGGCATGACGGTGAGCGTGTCGACGGCCGAGTGCATTCGCAACGCGACGTCCAAGCTCACGCAGATTGTCTTGTTCAACGATGACGGCGACGTGTCGTGGCACAATCCCGCGCAAGCCAACGACGAGCGCTTTTATGAGGTCCAAGGGCAGTCGCTCCTCCGCATTCCGCTGCCGCTGCTCGAGCACGGGTCGTTTGCGATCCGCCAGGTCGGTGAAGTCGAGTGGAGCAATGCGCTGCCGCTGTCGGTGACGCCCGGTCGGTCCTCTGCGTCCCCCGTGTCCAACTACTTGGACATTGACGGACAGCCCACGACGATCGAGTGCAGCAAGGGCACGTGGGCCATCCACCTCTTGCCGCAGCTCGTGGTGCAAAACACTCTGCCGTGCGACGTCGAGTACCAGATCGTACAAGCCGCAGACGTGCCCGGCCTCGAGCTGCCGCCGTCGCTGCGTCTGACGCTGCCGCCGTCGGGGCGCCGGCTCTCGCTCGCCTCGAACGCGTCGATTGGGTCGCTAGCGTCGATGCAGTCGTCGCGCTCGATGACGGCGCCAAAGTCGTCGACGAAGAAGCCCAAGAAGTTCAAAGACCCGGAGTCGGCAGTCCTTGTACCCTGGTTTGCTTGTGTGAACGACGTCAACGCTCGCTGCGGACGTATCGAGAGCGGCCGATCGATGCAGATCTCGGGGCTCAACCTCGACGAGTCGGCGTACATGCGGGTGCGCTTGGCGGTGCCTGGCGACGCGCCGGCGTCCCGTCACTGGTCGGCGCCATTCCCGGTGCGCGTGCAGCTGCCAAAGAAGGCGTACGCTTCGTCGGCCGACATTTGCGTGGCGCCCGGCGAGGACGCGCCGACGGTGCGTGTCGCGCACTCGTGGGACAGTGTCCGGACAGTCGATCTTTTTGCGCCGTACTGGGTCCAGAACCACTCGGGGCTCGAGCTCAAGCTCAAGGTGCACCACGGCAGCTTTTGCTCGACAGACGGCCACATGGCGTACTTTGGCGACCACTTTGACCAAGTGCCACTGCTGCTGTGTGCGCCAGAGAAGGCGAGCTTGTCGCTGCAGCCGTTCGCCGAGACGCCGCCAAAGCACGACCACCAGTCGGGCCTTGCGACCCACGTACGCAAGTACCTTCCGGATTTCAAGCGCGTACCGTTCTCCGAGTCGATCGACTTGGCCGCCGTCGGCACGCGGGCGCAGGTGTCGTGCGGCCTCACGGCGTGCGTCCTTGGCTACGAAATCCTCGCGGCGCCAGGGCAGTTCCAGCACACGAAGATTCTCCGGCTCGTACCGCGCTTCGTCATCAAGAACGACGTCGGGCGGCCATTGCAGCTGACGCCGCTCACGCTGCATAAGGGCGCGCCGTCGCAGCTGCCGGTGGAAACGGCCAAGATCAACGTCGGCCTCAAGCCCGAGAGCGCGCTCATCGTGTACAAGTTTGTCGGCAAGGACAGTCATGTACCCGGCGTGCGTCTCCGCGACGCTCTACTGGCCCCGCCGACGCTGACGGAACCCGGGCCGTGGGGACCGTCGCTGCCGCTAGCCGAGAAATCGGTCGCGAGCATGTGGCTCCGGGGTCCGCTGAGCGACGCGCCGATCGTCGAGCTCGACGTGCAGCCCGACGGCCTCTCGACCTTTGTGACGCTGCGCGACCGGACACGGACTCCGGAGCTTCGCATCGAGAACCGGTCGACGCAGTATGCGATCCGGTACGCGCAGCTCGGGGTCAAGCACGCGGAAGAGATTGTGCTGCCGCCGCGGTCGTGGCACTCGTACGCGTGGGACATGCCGATTGGCAAGGACGTTAGGCTCAAGGTGTTTGTCGGCTCGTCGCGCGTCCCGGTGCTCGTGGAAATGCAGTCGGTGCACCGACTCGAGCGCCTGACGCCGGACGACGGCCACATCTATCTGCACGGCGAGGTGTACATTGACGGTACGACGCGCGTCTTGGCGGTCGGCGACGGACCTGTCTACCACCACGACCGGCGCACGCTCGTGCCCGACGCTATGTTTGCGATGGCGCTCGAAGTCGGCTTGCACGGCCTCGGCGTGACGATCGTCGACCAGACGCCGCGCGAGATCATGAACATAACGATGGAAGGCCTGCGCATGCTGTCGCCGGCGCACTCGCACAGCACAACGTACGAGCTGCATCATTTGCAGCTGGACGACATGACGCCGCATACCATGTACCCGATCTTTTTGGCGCCAATCGATTCGGGGTTCAACAGCCACAAGCGCGAAGGCTGGCGCGCCGAGCATGGCGAGCATCCGTGGCTGCATCTCGTCATTGACTCGTACTATGACGGCGACATGCTCATCGTCGACGAACTCTCGGCCTGTATTGGCTCGCTGGCGCTCAAGATCAACTTGGACTATGCGCTGCACGTGCTCGACATCTTTTACAGTCTCTTTTGGCCGCCGCAGACTTACGACGAGGTCGTCGCGGCCGGGATCGCGGCCGCGGCCGAGCTCTTGGCGCACCGCGTGGCGTGGCCGGACCCGTCGACGCTCGGCCAAAACATGTATGTGCGCGCGTGCACCGTGTCGTCGTACGTCTTGCAACTCGTTTTCAACTCGGACCCGGACGCGGCCGACTCGTACTTGCTCTCGCTGCTTGGCAATACGGCCGGAAGCATCCTCGGCGGCATTGCGCACGTCACACCGGAGTTTGCGATCCATCCGCTCATCATGGCCGACAAGTTTGTGTACAAGGACGATTTGATGTACAATATCATCCTCTGGGACTGCCTCGTCGGCAACATGCTCGGCCAGTGGTACAAGGTGGTCGGCAGTCTCGAGCTCATGGGCGACCCGGTCGGGCTCTTCAACGAGATTACGGACGGCATTGCGCTCGCCGCGCGCCAAACGAAGCGCGACTTCAAGGGCGAGTCGGACAAGAAGGGCCAAGGCGCGGTCATCCTCATGCAGACGCTTGTCGGCGCGCCGTCGGATGCGATCGGGAAGGCAGCGAATGGCTTTGGCGACATTTTGAAAAAGGCCACGTACTCGAAGAACCAAGAGGCCGACCACGAGCCACGCCACGTACCCGAAGGCTTGCTGCAAGGCGGTGTGCTGCTCGGCAAATCGCTCGCAAACGGCGTGTCGGGCCTCGTGACCAAGCCCATGCAAGGTGCCAAGGACGACGGGTTCAAGGGGTTTGCCAAGGGCGTCGGCCAAGGCACGTTGGGGCTTGTCGCGTCGCCGTTCATTGGCACGCTCGGCGTCATCGAGAAGCTCTCGCAGAGCGTCCACAACACGACGCACCTCATGGACGACAAGGACTTTGATGGCACGCGGCGCATTGCCCGCAAGCTCGAGTCGGCGCCGCTCAAGTCGCTCTCGGAGTCCAACATCATTTCCGAGATGGAAGTGCGCATCGATCGCGTCACGGGGCTTGCGATGAACTACAGCGTCCAAGTCTATGTACAGCTGGTCGAGCTCGATGGCGACGGCGTCCCAAGCCGCCTCGTCGACAAGTTTAAGACGGACACGCTGCGCAACACGGCGGCGCCGCGCTTCGACCAGTCGCGCGTGGTCGACGTGACGTCGGTGGACATGGCGCTCCTCTTTGTCGTCGCCCACAAGCGCAAGCCGATCCCAAAGAAGATTCTCGGCACGCTGACGCTGTCAATTGAAGACGTGTACAAGCACTTTCATGCGATGCCGTCCCGCTTCAAGTCGAGTGCGCTCGTCAAGGAGAAACTCAAGTCGCGCAAGGTCCACGGCGGCAGTCTCTTTACGGCCGTCGTCGTTGGCAACGACGACGCCGACGCCAAGTCTTCGAAGAAGAAGAAGAAGAAGAAGGTACCGACGTCGACGTCGACGACTGCACCCGTCTCTTCCGAGCCGGCGTGGGAAGCGACGTTCAACCGGGCAAGCACATTGGGCAGTGAGATGCTGCTTGCGGACGCCAAGGACGACCGCGGCAGCACCGAGTCGGAGACCAAGAGCGCGGCACCGATCACGGAGCCGCTGGCGTTCGACTTGGTTGCCGACGAGGGCAAGCCCAAGATTTGGCTCGACATCAAGTACCTCAACTCGATGCGGACCTAGTAGGAGACGCTTTGGTGGCGCGCGGGATTGCACTTCGCGTTGCAAGGCAAGTAATAGAACATTGTGATATATAGAAACGACCTTAGTTGAGGAAATCGTCATGTCCTTGATACCGGCGTCGGAGGGACATTCGAAACTAGTGCTTCCCATACAGTTGATGCGGTGCCATCACGCCCGACGTGGGGATCTTGGTGCGTCCTTTGACCACCGAAGAAGCAGCGTCCACTGTCGCAGCTTGTTGCCTCGTCACGTGCCAAGGAGCAGCAACCATGAACGTCACATCGTGGTTGTAGATATAAGAAATAGCAGTCGAATTCACATCTTAAATACAGGCGCTCACGTCTCGCAGGCCTCTCGCAGCTCGTCCATGACGGTGTCGCACTCGATCACTTGGTACCAGAGGTCCATACGCTTGAAGTCGTCGGCGTACGCGTTGAGCGCCGACAGAATGTCATCGAGCAGCGGCAGCCATTGACAAACCTCAGAGGGTTTGGCCGCCACGACGCTGCGGATCGTCTTGAGTCGCTTCAAGTAGATGGCCCCGGTCGTCATGTCGAGGCCGTACATGGTCGCATGGTGCACGAGTCGCTCGAGGTTGTCGAGAAGCCAGAAGTACTCGGACAAGAGGAGGTTCGAGCCTGTGAGGAGGAGGCTCTTGGAGAGACTGCGCTTGGAGAGCCGCGAGCGCGATGGCTGGCGCGAGAGGTTGGACTTGGTCACAGCAGTCTTGGACTCGTACACGTGGGCTTCGAACGGCTCTGCCGCACAGACGCTCAATAGCGATGAGAGAAAGCTAATCGTAAAGCCGACCGCGAGCGTGAGCGTCATGCTAAAGGTCGTGTGTGAAGAAGGGTCGATTGGGGTCTGGTCGCTGCGTGGCATTCGGGTGCTGCGCGATATCGCGCCAAGATGGAAATGCTTGAAGATCACCGATCCATCTCGGGCGGCGAGGAGACAGCCACCACCAGATGGCGCCAAACTATTATTTCATCCCACAACATAGACAACGTCGTCTTTGTATCGGGTACGCAGCGATCAGCAATATAATTGCTGGACGCGCCCCCACTCTGCACACGGGACACGGAGCGGCTGAGGCAAAGTGCAAAGTGGCGGTGGCGGAGACGACAAGTTGTCCGTGTAGCGACCGCGAAGGACATCGACACCGCGTAGCTCCTCGGGCGATGCGATACGATCGGTGGATGAGACCAACCGTTGCTTTTGGACGCCGCCCACCGTGGTATCTCGGCTCAAACTCAAGGGTGCATATCGCAGCGAGATTTGAGAAATGTGGCGTCAATGTCAATGGCCCGAAGACCACGAGACCGACATGCCGACAGCACATTGTATGCATCGTACACTGTACGGTCGGACGTACCGGTAGCCGCGACTCCCGCTACTGATCGGCGGCGCTACCGGTGCATGGTCACGACCGCCTCGGTTGCGAGTCATGGGTCGAACCAGACTCGGCAAACGTTGAAGCGCACGGCTGATCGCAGGCGAGTGAGTTTTCGGAACCCGTCGCGCATCAAGGCGCGCATGTCGCAGGTAGTATCTTCTTCGACACGCAACGACGTACACTTTTTGTTCGAGATACCAATATATATATTTGGACGTGTTTCGCGTTATCTTCATTATTACACAAAGACTTCGCATACGTAGAGACTAGCAATCTCCTTCTTCTTCATTCGCTCACCGGTCCGTGGCTGCGCAGGCGGCGGCGCGGGGTTACCAATATGACTAGCCTTTATAGCGACGACGCGCGCTCGACACAGCGCTGTGCGATGGCCGCCGCGTCCGCCGCTTGCGATTCGTTGTGCGGTCCGTGGAGCTACCGCCCAGCGTGTTGCAGTCGAAATGAAGCGTGAGGTGCGTACCGTTGCCAGTGCCGCCGCGAGGCACGCGCCATGGACCCGCTTGCGCGTGAGCAAGGCGTAGTACCGGCGCTCGGTGCTGGCCGTGTCGCCGCCGTAGCCCGCGATAAGGCGCTGCTGCAAAGCGGCTTCAACGTCGTTGTTTAACGAGCCGCTCTCGAGGCCCGAGGCCATCGTCGGGTTGCCAAAACTAGCAAAGAGGACCTGCGCGACGGTCAGTACCCCGGGGCATGCAATCTGCTTGAACGTGTCTTGGGGCAAAACGTGTTGGATAACGAACGTTGGCGCGCTTCCATCAAGATTCCAGTCCGGTGTACACGTCGCCTCAATGAGAAGCGTCGTCGGAATGCTCGTCGGACACGGACGTCCAAAGGTCCTACGCACCAACACAGTGCTGGAAGCCGATATGGACGATGGTACGTACGTCCTGGAGGCTGCCACTTGACATACATTGGTCCCCAAACACGCAGCTTGGACTTCATCGATGGCCGACGTCGAGCACCCGGCGGCGGTGTTGCCAAAAAATGCAGCGTCGATTCGATGGACGTGGTATGCGGTGGGGCACGCAAGCCGCATGAACGAAGAGGCAGGCGCCGAGGCGGCGACAGCGACGGCGCTTGGTCCATTTCCACAAAGAAACTGAACACCAAGTCGTTTGTATACTGTCGGGCACGGGTCGCCAAAGAGACTACAATATGTGAGATCGAGTTGAGAAGAGACGTGTACCTGTTGCTTGCGCGGAGTGTAAAAGCGTGTTGCCCCAGTGTCGTGCGCGATACAACCGACATACTGCTCTCAGCGCTGCACGATCCAAGGGCAAATGTGACAGGCGCATTCGGTGGCGCGGTGGGGGCCACCGTGTACGTCGGCGGTGGTACAGGCGTCGGTGCGGGCGTTGGTGCAGGCGTCGGTGCAGGAGTTGATGCAGGCGTCGGTGCAGGCGTTGGTGCAGGAGTTGGTGCAGGAGTTAATGCAGGAGTTGATGCAGGCGTCGGTGTCGGTGTCGTTGTTGGTGCAGGCGATGGCGATGGCGCATCTGACGTAGGGGCATCTGACGTTGGGGCAGCTGGTGCCTTGGTTGGTAGTGACGTGGTAGGTTCAGGGCTCGACGGAGCAGAAGACGCCGGAGTACTAGATGGTGTTGCTGGCTCGATGGAGCTTGTCACAGGTGGAGGCCCTAGCGATGTCGCTATTGGCGCCGCTGTTGATGGCGTCGCGATCGGCTCCAGCGACGGCGTTTGAGAGGTCGAGGGTGGTGGCGCTGGTGGCTCTGTTACCACTGGCAACGTCGTCACCGCAAGTGTCGCGGGTGGATCGCTGGACGGTGCGGGCGTCGTCATCGTGACGACTGGAGTGGGCGTCGGGTCCGGTATCGACGGCTCGGCCGGTAACGTTGTCGGTGGAGGCGTCGACGAGCTTGGTGATGCAGTCGCCGGTGCCGGGGTTGGTATACGTGACGGCTCTGTGGGTTCGGAAGTTGTAGTTTCTGGTGTCGGCGCCCACGATATTGGGATCGGTGGTGGCACTAGCGTTGACGGAAGTTCAGACGGTGACGGCAGTATCGTCACCAATGGCGACGGTGTTGTTGACGGATACGCAATGTTTGTGCTCGTACTTGGTGGTGCGCTCGTTTCCATTGGGGCTGTCGATATCGGTGGCGTAGTCTCGACAATTAGCATCGCTGTTGTCGGCGCAGCTGACGTCGAAATTGTCGGTGGTGGCGTCGCACTTGGACTCATTGTTGCATCGGGAGACGCCGTCGGGGCCGCAGTTTCGACGGGCGCAGTCGTCGACGGAGAAGTGGATAACGTCGATGGCAACGTCGTTGTCGACGCGACGGCCGTGCTTGCCGGTGCAACACTCGTGACCCCTGGAAGCGTCGTTGGCGGTGGTGCATTCGAGCTTCCCGAACCCGATGGCGGTCCAATGCTCGCCGATGGTGCCGGTACTGGGACTGTAGGTGACGGCTCATCGCTCGATGTGGTCATTGCTGGGGTCGACGGCACGGGCGTCGTCGTCTGAAAATCGCCACTAGTGGGAATGCTAGTGAGCGCACTTGGCACTGGCGTCAGATCGGTGCCATCAACTGGCGGCGTTGTTATGACGCTCGGTGCAGTTGTGTTTTCACCCGAGTTGGGCGGCGGTGTCGATACGGGAGCTGTCGTGTCTGGTAGCAGCGTTGGGCGATTTGTCGATGGCGATGAGGGCATCGTCGTCGATGGGGCAGTGGTATCGTTATCCGACGGAGTGCTCGTTGTTGGTGACGGCACCATAGTGGCGTCGTCCAGTGTCGGTGTCGGCGTCGCAGTCACCAGTACCGGTGCTGTCGATACATCGACGGGCGGCGCATCGGTCAATATCGTGGACGTTGGCGTCGGCGATAGCGACAAACTCGCCATCGTTGTTGGCACCGGTTCTGTTGTCGCGGTCGGTGTCGGACGTAATGTCACTGGAGCCGGCGTCGGCGTCATTGACACCGATGGACTCGTCGTCATGCATGTCGTTTGGACCACATAGGCAATGGCTTGAACGTCGTCGATGCCGAGCGTTGCAGTCGGTGGCAGCTACCGACGCCGTCAACACCGATCATCTATAGCCTTACGCTACACTACCTGAGCAATTGTGGTGTTGGTGCAGTTCCACAGCTTTTCAAAGAACGCTGCGGTTGCGTCGACCAACACCATCGACGCGTTCGCGGCCGTGGCTTCGGCGATCGCAGTCACCTTTTGCTGCACGACAAAGCCAAGGATCGCCGTGCGGGTCAAGCGCGGCAGCGTCGAAGCATTGCTTCCGGGCACCGATGGTGGCACAAGGACGACCGGCGGCGCCGTCGCCGGCGTACGCGCACAGTTGGCTTGCAATTGCGTCAGGCCTTGGGTCCAGTTGTAGTCCACAGGATGCTGCATCTCGCCGAGCTAGATGGCGTGGGGTTATACCAAGGGCTAGGTATTGCTGTACCAAGAAACACATACCTGCTTGTAGCCGATCGCAAGGCACGTCAAGAGCTTGTCGAACGCGTCGGTCACGGACGTGGCGAAATTCGCCGACGCTACTTGTGCTTGGAAGCGCGCAATGGCTTCGTCGCGCCGCAAGGCTGCTACTTTCTCATTCAAGACGTCGACCGGCGTCGATGCCTCGAGCCGGACAGCGGAAGGAGCCGTGGGTGAATGCGCCATGAAGTACAGACAGCCGAGGCCAGCAAGTGCGACGCACGTGAGCAGGCCGAGGTGGTGGTGGCGGCACTTGGCTGCATTGTCCGGACGCCGCGAAGCTACCGGTAATGGGGGCAGGCTAGTACCGTAGCCCGAGAATAGCGTTGGCATGTTAGATGTCGATGCACGCTGACTCGGTCAACAGCGACGGACTGTTTCAAATCGGATCTTGGAAGATCGCAATACGGTTTTGCTTGGACGCTCGAAAATGTTATTTCTAATGCATTACGCAACGCATAAAACACTTGAGAATAACTCATTTCAACGCACAAAAGACTTGGAGGTTTGTGGCCGAGGCAACAGCGAGCCCGTGCAGAGACAACGAGCAAGCGAGACTGCCATCGTACGACCCATTTCATGTCCTTGGTTCATGTATGCAGGTGCGATCTCGACACCGAAAGTTGTTGATCAACTAAGTTATTTGCTATGCAAAAGTACACCTTGGTTTATAAACGCTTTGTTTGTAGCTTTTCCTAGTTTCGGAGCTGCTGCCACGAGCGTCTCTATGACAGTCCATACATGATCCCAACCAAATATCTCGTAAGCATTCGAGTAGCAGCGTCAATATGTCATACAAAAGCGATGACAATATGCTTTTATGGTTGGCTGCCTCGTGAGGGTGGCCGTGGCACGACTGCGCCTGACGCTGGCCGTAATCGCTTGGCGGCGCGGTGCGCGGAGGCGTCGTGTGGCAGCGCGCCGCCAATGGCCGTGCGCACCACTGCTACGCTGCGCTCAAACTGGTCCTTCATCTCGTCGACTTCGCGTGTCTTTTCGTCCAAGGCCACTTGGAGCTGCAGGAATGCGTCACGCTCTTCAAGGACGCAGTCCAACGCACGCTTGTGCGAGGCTGGCGTACTCAATTCTGCTCGCAGGTTGTCGATGGCTCGAGCCGCGTCGTCCAGCGCAGCGTGCACAGAACGTACTTGCGCCGAATTCAGGTCCGGAGCAGCAAGCACTCGCTGGCAGACGCGCTTGGCGTCGACTTCAGCCTTCTCGTCCATGATCCGCTCCATCTCGTCGTCATGCTCGCGTTCAATGGTCACGGCAACATCCCTCACGCCTCCGTTGCGGCCATGGCGGCGGCAACGGAGGCGGCGGATTGGACAAAATGATTCCGATTCTGACATTTTGATTGGACGAATGAATCGACCCTTTCCCGCGTGGCACGCCAAGAGCACAGTTCGTCCATAGCTTGCTGCGGTATGCCCGGCAAGAAGCTTGCAGTGCAGCGTAGGCAAGAGAGCAAGTCAACGTTCCTACGAATACGCCTTACGCGGCGTCGATACTGCCAGCATAAAAGCTGCTTGCCAAGTCCTACGCACGCTGAACGGGTGGTGCCAAGGCGAGACTATCGAGCGCATGCAATTGCGATCTACCTTTGCTTCGACGAGCACGGAACAAAGGAAACGAGCGGTCTTCTAACTTCACACGGGAAGCAACGCCAAAGCCGCCGAGAGCTTGTCGAGCCAGCATAGGCGGTTGATGCCTGTACTATCCGGATACGACGATCGGCATTCGGAGATTTGGCCATTGAAGCGGCCATGGCGGGCGACGACTTGTCGTTGGACGCGACCGGGCTCATGCTCCTCGCTGTCCTGAGGCCGCATTACCAAAGCAGCCACCTTCTTGTCGCGATGGCCGTCGATCGCATGAAGGACGAGCGCGACGATGCGCGAGACGAGCGCGATGACGCCGTGGCTGCGCGCGACGAGAGCTTGGCACGTGCGCGCCAGGCCAAGCACGCGCTTGAGACGCTGCGCGCCGAGTTTACAGAGTCGCGATATGCCTCTCGCCAGCGAGAACTAGCGCGCATCACGACGGAGGGCGACGACCTGCATGCGCGCATCGCTGCGCTGGAAGCCAAGAAGCTCGCAATGACAATGGAGATCGCAGCCGTGCGTAGGAAGTACGAGCCACGCCTGGAGGCTGTGCGCGCGGCATTGCGTGGAGCAAGTGCGCCGCCGTCAACCAGCGATACGCCGCCGCGACGAGACGCACCTGAGCCCTCGTCTACCGAGGGTGCAGAAGAAGAACGTGCTGAGATCGTGCCGTCGCGCGTGAGCGACGATGATGGCGCATCATCGATCGACGACGAAGAGCACCGCCGGCCGTTAAAGCGTTGTCGCATCGTTCCCAACTCGACAGTTAATGTCTAATACACGTTGCTAGACAAGTTCATAGCTTGTGGGCTAGCATAGCAAACGACTGGCCCCACCACCTTGATACTCGCTGTAGTCGCAAGAGGTCATTTGCGTTGAAATGCGAGACGGACCTTTGCTCAACTCAATGCATACCAAATTGAGGTTGGTCACCATATTTGCAATTGAGAATGCGCAATGCCAGGACGTCGAAACAAAATAGGGATCGGCTCCCACATCCTTCAGCGTTCAATGCGACGATCATCCTCGCGCGCTCAAAGCTCGTCCATCGACGCCAATTCTCGTGGACTACGCTTGCTGGACGAGCGACCGCAGACCCTGTGCTACGCGGAGGGCGTGCCACGACAGGCCGCAAAAAACACTCTTTTTGCCAAATCCAAACGACGTATTCGGTTGTATTTTCGCCAATAGAAACGCTCTGTGTCTTTTTCACGAGCCAATCATTAGTCAAGTAACCGGACAACGCAATATGGACGACGAGGACATGGTCATCATCGCCGCAGTGGCCGCCGCCGCGGCCTATGTCATCGGCGAGAGCGACCACGAGGAAGAGATGGAGCAGATCAGGCAGGAGAAGGCCCACGTGGACTTGAAGCGCAAGCAAGCAGAGCGCGTCCACAGAGAAGCGCTGGCAACCCGCGACCACGCCGTCGCTCGGCTCACGTCCGGGACGCTGGACGCTGCAATCCGAGCCATCCAGGAACTTCAAGCTGAAATCCAGACGCCGGAGGCATACCAGCTTGATTGCGACCGGGTTTTGAAGGAGCGCGACGACCTTTTGCAGCGCGCTGAGCAGCTGGAAGTAGCCCTTCGCGACAAGAATCGCGAGATCGACGACATGACGATCGAGTACGAGCAGCGCTTGGGCGTCGTGCGCTCCGTCGTTGGAAGCGCGCAACGGCGTATGAACGACCCGAGTCCCGGCGCGCCTCGACAGGCCAAGCGACTACGGCCGGCGCCGGCCTCGACCAATGCAGTGCCCATCTCGCAAATTGGCCGAACTTCAGTCGCTGTAAATGATTTTTGATATATTTATTCAACCTCGCAGTACGATGCAGCTATCACTGAGATGAACGGCGGCAATGCTCGTGGCTCACTGCAGGAGCCATTGGCCCTGGACGTGGCGACGTGCGTGACCGTCTATCGGCGCCTGGTGTGCCCTTGTCTCGAATGTTGTCCCCGCCCACCAAGTCGAGCTAGAATCACCTTGTCGCTTGACGATTGCAAAAATCTCAGCTCTCCAAAATACCAAATACGACTCCACGAGAATCGGCACTGCCATTTATCTCTCAGCTCGTATCGCAGTATTGTATTGCATTGATCCAGTGCATGCTGGTGAACTCAAAACGTAGTATGAATACACCACCAAATGCCATGACCAAATGCGAGCGTGTCCTGGACCATGACCGTCGCAACATCGCGTCTGTCCAGTCGGAGTGGCTCTTGGAAGACGCAAGCGAGGCCGACTACAGCTCCTCATACGTCGACACTAACTCGCTGCTTTGCGCCGTCTACAGTTGATCATGTAGTCGACTTTAGTAGTACTTCTACCAAACCAGACACAACATTTACTAGTATGTATTTGCTACTTTCAAGACCTAGCTTCTCTAGGTCTTGAAAGTAGCAAAGACATACTAGTAAATGTTGTGTCTGGTTTGGTCAAGCCATGCCTTGCCGATGCAAGCGTGTATCGCTGGAGAGTCTCAGCTCACAATCTGCCTTCGTGGCGTCACCCAATACAACTGCCTGCTTCCTGGGAGATGGCTAGCCCCTCGCTGCGTTGTTTGTGTTGCAGCGCGGAAACCACCACCGAATCTGCCCACCGTCGCAAGCCTCTTTGATCACGCGGCGTCGCTGGCAACAGCCGTTGCACCGTTCACCGACGTGTGCCATTTATAAAACGTAAAGCTACGAAAGCTTTTTGCGTCCTACAGAGCAAACTATCTGATCTTAGTCCGCACGACGTGCGCAATATGTGTCGAAACAAAACACACATATATTGATTAACAATAGCAAGCGCCTTGGATCTACAGTGTATGGATGCGAGATGGACGCGGGGATGAGCCCGCGCTGGTGGGCGCTGGCGCTGGCCGGAAGCGCTTGGCGGCCGGGGTCTCCGTCTCGGCGGCTACGGGGGATGGCTGTGGCGCAGCTGCCGGCGGCAGGACACCGACGCCGCTCGTCGCCATGCGTACAAGCGTCAAACGGTGCTCGTACTGGTTCTTGATCGCGATCGCCTCTTGGCTCTTCTCGTGCAGCGCGGCCTCGAGGTCGCGGACCCGCTGCGCAGCGTCGTCGCGCTCTTTGGTGATGCGGTCCAACTCGCGCTTCCTGGACGCATGCGTGGGCGTGTTGATGCTTGCGCGTAGGTCGGCAATGGCCTTGGTCGCGGCGCCGAGCGCGCTCTGTACGGATGCGGCCCGCTCCGAGCATTGAACGCTCGCGGCGAGGGCCTTGTCCCGGGCAGCCTTGGCCTTCTTGCACTTGACGACTGCATCCTGCTTCTTCTGCAGCGCCTCTTCGATCTCTTCTTCGTTGATGGCCGCCGTCGCCTCCAAGCTCTCGGCCATTGTGCTCAACGCGTTGAGCATGCCGTCCATGCTGCCCGGATGTCTTGACTCAGTTTGCGATGATGTCTCTGCCACCTCTATCCGGTCGTCGCATCTGGGATCATCCGGATATACGTTGATTGGATTGGCTGAAACGAATACGATTGGCGAAGCCGATTGGACAATCAAAGGCTCCATGTTCCCAATGCCATGCATGGCACCGTCTTGGCTCAGTCGCAAGAGATGCACACAGTGTCCTCAAACCTTCCGGTTGAGCAAGGTGGCCACTAGACGCATGTCTGTATCGTGTACGCGTGCAAGGACGGCTACCGAAAATGCCCATGTTAATCTCCGAGAGCATCAGAGTGCAACCAAAGACATGCTCTCTTTCAACTACGGAAAATGGCCCATAGCTCATGCTTGTGGAGTTGAATGGACCTTTGCGAAAAGAAGTGGCAGTCGTTTGTCATTTGTATTTGTAGCGAGATCGATAGAACGACGTCCAACACCTAATTTGCAACAGTCTGTAGCCAACAAGGTATTGGCCAAAATCCAAAATGCAGTTTACAAAAATTTATACAAATGCGTTGAATTCAGCCTTTTGCTAGGGCAAAGCATCGACTCGCATGCGGTACATCGTCGCCCCGAACGCCTGGATGTTAAAGGGCGGGCGGGTCGGAGACTACGAGTCGCCGCTTGGCTGGCCGTGGGGCAGCCTCTTCACGTGACGTGCGCAGAGCAAGGCGTTGCGCGGTGCCTTGGTGAGCTGGGGCTGGCGCTGTGCCCTGGCGAGCTGGGGCTGGCGCTGTGCTCTGGCTTGCGGGTGCGGCTCGCGGGGCAATTAGGTTGTTGGTGATGGACCGCACCCACCGGACGGGTGTGGCGTTGGCGGCTTGCTGGTCGGCAGGAAGTAGCTGGCGCATGGCTTCCAGTCGGCCTATGTAATGCTGGCGAACATCCACGATGTCGCTCGTGGACTGGTGGAGCGAGGCTTCGAGCGCTTGGACGCGCAGCTTGAGGTCGTTCCGCTCTTTCGTAACAGCGTCCAGCTCGCGCTTCAGAGACGTCGACGCGTAGCCTTTGGCTGCTGTAGCTTTCAACGCCTCGACCTCCTTCTTTGCGGTCGCCGCTCGGGCGCGGTTGCGGTCGCGGGACTCGATCGCTGCTTGGAGCTCCGTTTCGAGCCGCTCGACCTATTCTTCGTGCTCGCCTTCCATCTCCGTCACTTTTGCGGCGAACACGATCAAGGTGTTGCGCAGCGCGTTGTGCGCTTGCTGCTCCACGAGGTACTCGTCGAAGTAGTCGTGCATGCTCAACCGTGACGGCAACAGAGCTGACGGCAATGTGATGATGAGGTTCGGGGTTATCCGTATGAGCTATCCGTATGTGCCATGGATATCCGTAAGAAGACATGCATTCCTTGGACGTGGCAGATTTCTCGTGGAAATCACACACTCCGACGACAAATATTCAGAACTATTACGATGAATACTGTAGCGAGTTCGCGTTGAACCGAATCGTCGTGCTGGATAGCGCACTTTCGTTCACCGCGCGGGTGATACGCGATTAGGAACCCTTTGGTGAAAATGATTGGCCGAAATACCCAACGTTACCGCGTGCGATTGGACAATTTTCTAATTTTTAGTTCCCGCCCACAAGAACGATCTTGAAGCATGAATGATGTTTGTCTTGGCTCATAAGTGGGTCGTGGGGCAAAAGAGGAGGCGCGCTACCACCCAACTAGAGCTCATCCAAAGCCGCTACTTTTATTAAATATTTTCATCCACACTCCCGAGGGACGCGCACCAATTATTTTTTCGAGGTGAAGAGGACGCCATTCACTCGTAAATTCAACAAAACACTTTCACCCAAAAAGCAAGTACGAAAAAGCAATGTTCAATGAGTTACACTGCCGAAGGTGGCTCTGTAATGGGTTCTGGCCGCTTAGTCGATAGACTAGCAGACGTATTGCGCGAGGACGCAGCGTCGGCATTGGGCCCGTCTTGAAGCTGCACTGCGCTACTCGCTGGTCGCCCGGCACCTGTTGACGAAGCCTCTTGCCGCGCTTTCTTGGGAAAAGGTCCATTGATCGCGCTGTACACGCTTTCGAGGCGAGCTGTATACTCTCGCCGCATTGCGTCGGCCTGGCCTGTCAGCTGCTGCACCTCGGCCTCAAGCACATCGGCACGCCGTTTGAGAGCGTCACGCTCATTTGCGACGAGCTCCATCTCGCCCTTGAGAGCTCCGTGCGCCGACGCGTCAAAGTCGGCTTGCAGCGCCGCCAGCGTCTTGGCCATGGCCGTCGCCCGCGACTCGGCGCGGTAGCCGGCAGCTTTCGCATTCTTGCGCTCTCTGCGAAGGCTCTCGCCTTCCGCTTCGTAGTCGTTTCTCGCCTGAAGGCCCAGGATGGCCAAGGCCACCATACTTCGGGGCACGTTCGGCTTTCGCACCATCAACGCCACCGCGGTCTCTAGCGCGTCCATGCCCAAACTGCAAATTGGCCAGCGTATCCGGATGACCGTGGGTAATCCGGAAACGACAGTATTTGCTTCGCTCACTTCACTCGATTTGGGTCTTGCACGGGATAGGTTTAGGGCAGGGCTGGGTTTAGGGTAAACATTTGAAACTACCCGCCACAGCTCGAAGACGTCAATACGGCAAGAGGCAATAAGCCATCAGGACGCGAGTCTTAACCCAAACTTCTGATCAATAAGTACTCATGTCCACACCACCAAACTTCAAGAAGAGGAAGAAGGAAGCCCCTGGTTCAATAGCCCTTTTGGACCGTTCGCATCAGCTACCGTACGTCGAATGTGTTAAGTACACTTTTGTACTATATCTAATTTTAGAGTGATTTGATCGATAGATAGATAAGAGCTGTCAACAAGGAATAAACAAAAAACTTGTGTTACGGAAGGAGGCACGAAAGAATGAGCTCTTTCCGGTCCACGGGCGACGCGACAAGCGATTCGAGCAGCACGATGCGACACGCCGTCTTGAGGTTAGGCACTTGCTCGCTAAACGCGCACGCGGTCGCGTACACGGCCTCGGCCTGCGCCGGCGCCAGTTTGTGCATGAGCTCGGCCTCGCATCGGCGGGTGAGATCCCACGTTGCCAGTCGGATGCTGCACGTGAGAAGCTCCAAGAGCTCGTCGACCGTCGAGGCCTATGTCGCCAGAGCTAACTTCCTGTCAATTTTTCGTGTTCTTTGTACCTGGCGCCAGCGTCGCGTATACAGGTACGAGATGGCATCGTGCACTATCTCCATTCTGCACGCCAGCGTCAGCTGGTCCTGCGTCTCAAAATGACGTTGCAGGTGCGTCGACTGCGCCGCCAGCACCGCGCGGTGGCATCGAAGGCTCCCGCCGTCACAGTCGACCACATTGACATCCGAGAGCCACGCGCTCGCTAGCAAGTCGCCCATATCGGCAGCGCGCCAGGCTTCTTGGAGCGCTACACACTAGTATTGAATATAACGTGGATGTGTGCGTCCATACCTTGCATCTCGGTCGCAGTCTTGTCGGGGATCGTCGTCAGCAAAGCGCCGCGCAGCGGATCCCACGCGTCGTCCAGAGACCACTCGTGCCAATGAACCAGGCTCCACACGCATAGCGCCTCGAGTGGTCGCACGAGAAGCTCGTTGGCGAGGAAGAGCAGCTCCCATAGCGCCTCTGCCGACGTGGCCTGCAGCGCCGCCACGTTTGGCGCGTACACGAGGCTCACAAAGAGGTCAAGCACGTGACATGGCGCGCAGACGCTGTACGAGGCGACACCGGACGACGCCCACGAGCCCGCCCAAAGCGCTCGCAGCACGGGACTCCGACCGACGAGAATGGCTTGGTGGACTTGGATGTGGTGGGTGCCATCCAGCGTCGACAAGACGCCGTCGGTCGGCGCATGTGACGCATATACTGTGTACGGAGCCAGTAGCGTCGAGGGCGGTGGCTGCTGGGACGCGTGGTGGGCCTTGATAAAGTCGATGCAGGCGACGTCGACCGCGCACTCAAAGCCCATGAGCACTTCGACGCATGCGTAGTCGTTGCGCATGAGTGCAAGCAAGAGCGGCGACCGCAGCTGCCGGTCGCGTTCGTTCGGGTACCCGCCATGCTTGAGCAGTGACCGGAGGCACTCGCTGCGGCCGAGCTGCACCGCGAGGACAACCGGTGTCACGAAATGGGCGTTCTCGATCAAGAGCAACTTCTTTCCGGCGACTGCGAGGACCTTCTCGAGGCAAGCAACGTGGTCGAAGCGCACGGCCAGATGCAAAAGCGAGTCGCCATGGACCTTGTCTGTTTGGTGCAGAGCAAATGCTGGCGCGATCGGAAGCACGAGCGAGAGACTGGCGACGTACCCGCTGGAGACGCTGAGCTGCAGCGGCGAGAGCAGCGTCGCATCGGAGGTGTAGCCGTGGACGAGCACCATCTCGACGAGTGCTGAGAACGGCATCGCAAGGTACAACGCTGTTTGTAGCGAGTGGTCGTGGACAGAAGCGTTGGCGCCGGCGTGAAGGAGACAGCTGACCACGTCCACACTATCCCGCGACGGTGCGGCGACGGCTGCGACGATGGCGACGAGCAACGGCGTCTCGCGGCTTTTGTTGCGCGCTTCAAGCTTGCTCTTGGAGAGCAACGCGCGTAGTGCGTGTATTGACAAGGCGCTACCATATTTGGATGTGCCTATGGACGCTATCCATATGAACCTACCGACACGCGTGGTGCAGCGGCGTGTTGCCCTTCTTGTCGACGGCCAAAGCGTCCGCGCCGTGCTGCAAGAGAAATTTGATCGTGTCCACGTGTCCATACTGCGCCGCAACGTGCAATGGTGTTTGCTTCTTCCGATCGCGTGACGCGAGGCCGTCCGAGGCGACCGCGTGGAGGCAGTCGAGTACCTACCGACCATATATTGTTTCAATATGGACGCAGCATGGAGGTGCTGACTTGAATATGGCCACGCATGGCCGCAAGGTGCCATATACTGCACTTGTCGTCATCACGCTCGTCCCACAGCAGCAGCGGTCGGTGCTGGCTCAAGTACGTATGGATCACGTCAAGGTTGGCACGGGTTATCGTGGGTGCTGCAAACATTGGCCAAATCACGGCGCGCCACTCGGTCCGCATCGCAGTCGCGTGCGTCGACGCGGCGTGCGTCGATGCAGCGGGCAGTGGCACAGCGACGCGCGTTGTCGTCTTGGGCCGACTCCATTCGCTGGACGCATACTCGCCTTCGTAGGTTGTGACATCACCGCGCACTTTGGACTGCGCAGCAAGCTCGATGAAATACCCTGGACGACGGCTCACCTTTGTTGTCGACGCAGATTCTGGTGCAGAATCTGGTGTCAGTGCAGAATCTGAGGTCTGCGTAGCGTCTGGTGTTGGCGCTTTGATTGAATGTGGCAAAGACGCGTCTTCACAATGGTTTGGCTGCTGCATTGGCTGGTCGTTGGGTGCGGCAGACGTGGTGCGTATGCGCTCGCGCCAGAGCTGGGCCTTGGATGGTTTTACCTTCTTCGTCTTCTTGCGCTCGTCCTTGGCTTCTAAGGGCTCTAAAGGCGAGCTTTCGATAGCGGCGGGTTCTGGTG